ATTATTCAAGCCGTTTCACTACTTGAACCCTCCGAATCTGACCCAGATGAATCTGAACTTTGACTGTCCGAGGAAGAGTCATCGCTTGAACTGTGACTGCCAGAGGAACTCCCATTCAAATTATCAGGATTTCCATTTGAAACTTCGGTAGGAGATGGTAATTTTTTATCGAACTTCACCAATGCATTTTCTAAAGCCTTAATCTGTTCTTCATTTGATTGACTAGCTGAATTTGTGCGAAGTCTTTTAACTGGTGGCTTTCCCTTTTTACTTTTGCTTTCTTTAGGAAGATTATCCATCGTATAATCATAAATTTCCCTTGCTAATTGAGGATCAAGATCATCAATTTCAAAAGAGACCTCCCCTTGATCGTCCTCCTCTATTGGTGCATTTCTTTCTCGTACCAAATTGATAATGTGCGCCATAGATTCTTTTGAAAGCATAATGATCTTTTCAGAAAGAATTTTCTTCTGATGTTGTGTTAATTTTTTTCTTTTAGCCTTAGACTTGGGCGAACGAGGACGTTTCAAAGTCTTTGATTTACCAGCTGGTACTGATTTTCCATGAATTTTACTAGAAAGTTTCGCCATTTCATGTTTTAAAGCTTTCTTGGATTTTGAAGATTTACTTTTCTTAAACATTTCTATTTCTTCCTGTATTGCTTTTAAATGCTCTTCCAGTCCTCTTCTCCATTTTTCCTGGCTGTCGCTTTCGTCACTTGATAGCTCACTGGCATCTGAAGACTCATCCATCACCGTTTTTGATCGAACTACTGATGATCTTGCCTTCTTTGATTTCTGTAGCGAATTAGAATCTAGAGCAGGTTTTACTGCCCATTTCTTATCGAAAACGGCTTCAAGCATTTTACCCATATTTCCGACCTCACTGTTAGGACCATTGTAGACATAACAATTTTGGAACATTAAACGGATATCCGCTTCAAATTCATCAGCATTTGAATATTGGTCGTTTTCCAATTTTGAATTAATCGTAGACATATCCATAGGACGCGATATAATCTTAAAGTAATCTGGGATGCCTAGTTTTTCTGGATCTACGGGTTCATAAAATGGATAGGCGTATGGCCAGTGTACTTTCTTACGCAATTCCCTTAAGGTTTCACGACAATAATTTAATTCGATGTTTGATTTGCTTTTTCTGCGTTTAATGGAGGTAGAATCGGGTAGTTCCTTAGATGTAGGTCTGATTGTTCTCTTTGGCCTTTCCGTAGCTTCAAATATTTGTTCAGTAGGAGTTTTACATGTCTTGGAAGCGAGTTTTGAGGACTCCGCCTTTAAGCCTTGTTCTTCCACGACTCCTGGCATCTTACTAAGCTGCTGACTAAACAAATTATTCAGTTCTTTTGCGAAAACCGAGTATTGATGTGAAACACCGTTATACAAGATGCAATTGCTAAATACAAGTCTGACGTCGTTCGCGAAATCGTTTACACTCGAATATTCGAGATTGGAAAGCTTTCGCTCCACGGTACTGAGATCCATAGGTTTCTTGATAATGTCATAGTAATCAGGGATGCCATATTTTACTGGATCAACAGGCTCAAGAAAAGGAAAAACTGACGGGTGACGTTTTAAGACCTTTAAAGAAGCATAGCAATATTTATAATGTTCTCGAGCCATACTTTCTTGAAACCAGTCAGCTTTGAGTTTGTAAACGTTGTCGGTACTTGACAGTGTTTCACTTAAGGCGTTGATCGGTTGTTTTTTGTTTTTGGCCATTCCCAAACAAAAAAAAAAAAAAAAAATGAAGGGTCAAATTAAAACAATACTGAGGTAAATTTATTTGATTTTTTTCATTATTTATATCATTGACAAATCAATGACGGTTTATTGTATCACACGGATCAACTAATTTGACACTGCGGGGCAAGTGTTGACGCACCCTATTGCTGCGATATAAATTCTAGAATTTATTTGAACAAGTCATTTATTATTTTATATTATTTTATATTAAATAGCTAAAATAGCTTTCAAATTAAATTTAGAAAATTATAAATAGATATATTAAATAAAAAAAACTTTATACATATTAATAATTTTTTAATTATTTTTATTTAATTTTTTTTTTCTATAATCCAACAAATATTTATTGTATTTATTTAATCTTTAAAAAAATATATAATTGTATATAAATATTTATATCAATTATTT